GTGTGTGAGTGTGTGTGTGTGTGTGTGTGTGTGTGTGTGTGTGAGTGTGTGTGAGTGTGTGTGTGTGTGTGTGTGTTTGTGTGAAATTTGTACATTTTTTATAGAAGCCATTTCTTTCAAGTTTGACACGCCTTTCACTATTTTCCTACAAATAAATCGTGCAAACTGGGCCGATAAATTTCACATATATCTATCTAGAATCTATGTCCCAAGCGCAAAAATCCGAGAAGTGACTCATTTTGTCAGCACGTCTCACAAACTGAATGAATTAACAGCGAGTCTAGAGTGAGCAGAAGACAAGGGCTATTCCACGGTAACTGACGCGACAGTAGGACTATACTTTCTTACAATGGTAACACTGTCATTCAATATCAGTTGATCTATTTCACCTCTAAATGATCAGAACTTTCGAAAGACATAATATAAGGAATCATATTTAATACAGTCATTTGAAGAAAAAAAAAATACTTTATACAAATTCTGTAACGTGTTTAGTTTCGGTAACTGACGAGACAGATAAGGTATTTTTTTCCTGCCCCGTCAGTCACCGCGGAATTGCCCTAAGTGGAGTTCAGCAGATTTCTAATGAGCGTCCGACCCTGAGACGTGGGATGAGATGGAAGGACCCTCAGTCTTATCCCTTTGAGCCCTGACCGCCTGAGGCTACAGTGCCCCTCTGCCTCAGCTCCTGAGCGATAATATATATATTACTAATATTCATGTGATCGTCAGTAATCACATTCCATATATCCCACTCAGGGTAGTCCTTGTCATAACCAGCATCTAATTCAGAAACATCTTAAAAACAATCAATAACACCCTGTGTAGTAAACACTGGTTTCCATGTGTGTTTTGTACCAAGACGCGCTGGGTTGGAGATAGGTCTCGCTCACCGATGTACCAGTGGCAAGGCATACGAACAGTTTTACTCTCTACCGGTGTACCAGTGGCTAAGGCTCAAAGGGTTAACTGACAGGGTTAACGCCAAACTTTTGACTTTCACACCCACGTAAAACAAACAAACACGAACGCAGACAGCAGATTTTCCAGGTCCCGAAATCTTTCCAGTACGTGTATTTCGACTTCTCAGTCTAAAAATCCGTCATCCGTCACTTTTCAAAACGGCTTATGGCGGAGACTTACACTAAGAAGTCCATTTGATTTGTATATAAAACTCTTACAAAATGAGATTCGTACACGATGAAAAGATTTCGGAGTTCAGCCAATTTCGCTGGGCGCGTGCTGGACAGTATAGTTTCTGCACTCACATCAATACAATACAATATTTCCTCCATTGTTGCGGGGGGGGGGGGGTTAAGTTTTAGAAAATCCCTCGATAAGGGAAAAATCCGCGAGCTAGTCATAATATAACAAAATTTATACCATATTTTACACCTTTAAGAACCCTCCCCGCACTTCAATAAACCTCGCCCAAGCTCTTATTCCTGTTATTCAATTGATGTTCACACTTTCTACACTTTCAGGGGAAAAAGACAAACCAACGGTTTTTCTACCAATTTCTGTAGTGTGGGTTGCACATAATTAAAAGACAAGGTAATTTTCTGACGTACTGGGGGAGGTGGGGGGAGGGGGTGAGGGTGGTTTTGAAGGGGGGGGGGGGGGGGTGTCAACAATTGTTCAGAGGGGAACAAAAATCATATTCGGAACTACTACGCCTCTGTTGGCCCAGACACTGGCCGCATGTTGTTTCTCATATATAACGTGAGTGGTTCTCTTTGGGAACCTCATTCTTTTTTTACACACAAAAAAAGGTGCACATTATAGGCCAGTATGTACGGTACGTAGATCACATGTGTCACGACGCGGCGGAATCAGGTGCTCGTCAATTTTCAGACTTACGGAAATATTGGTTTCATCTTATCGCTCGTTTACTTGTCTCGCTTTTGGTGACCCCCCATCTGTCTTGAACAGAAGTCCAGATATTAGCGGCTGAAGGAGGTGGGGTTTGCTTGGTGTCAGTGGTAAAATTAGCGTGCAAATGGCCGCCAAAGTTTGGCGATTTCCTAAGCTTAAGCGTCTTTGGTAACGGCAAATTTACATTTCTTGTGCCTTTCATGAACATTTTCCAGTAAAATCCACGCAGAAATGTATTCTAAAATAGACCTAAACGGTGTGGAGCAACAAAAAAAAACAAAAAAAAGAAAAAAAAAAGAAGAAAAAATTGCAGAAAACTCCCTAAGAGTTGGAGAAATGTCGGTTTCTTCTACTTCGCTATTTTGACGAGCGCCTGACTTCACCACGATGACTCGCATGTACATTTTGACGTCTGCTCAACTAGACACTCATTAATTATGTAGATCGTTCAGTATTTGATATTGTCTAATGCCCTTCCACACACATAAAACGCAAATCACTTTTTTTTTAAACCTGAGAAATTACAAATCAAAACACAGACCAGCTGTTGCTACAAGCCTTTGTCAAAATACATTAAAAAAAAAAAACCCAAAAAAAAACCGACGACAACAAACTCTGGCACAGAAGAAAAAAAAATTAGCATAAAGCAAAACGTCACCATATCGATGGTAGTAGCCGCACACCGTGTGAGTCAGAATTTACCGTAGGTCGACTTCTATTTTTGTCTAAAAAGACCACTTGGGAAACCCTCTTCGCATTATGTCCTAATATGGTGCAAATCTATCGAGCGAAAATGTCAAAAATCCAACGGTGGAGCAAAAATACGTGTAGTCATCCGTTTTTCTGTTACGTTTGACACTCGCACACAGTTTTTCTTGAGAGTTGTAGTTTCTGACTTACATGCACACGGTCTGTGACTATCGCCATCGACAAATGTCTTCACAAATCTCACTATTTTGATTCTTCTGATACAGAGGAGGTGGAGGTTGACGAGGTTGAGGAGGAAGGGGAGGAGGAGTGGAAGGAGGAGGAGAGGGAGAAAATAAAGGAGGAGGAATGGGGAAAAAAGGAGAAGGAAGAGAAAGAGGAGGAGGAAGAAGAGGAGGAAAAGGAAAAAGAAAAGAGGAAGAGGAGGAGAAAAAGGAAGAAGAGAGAAGGAGGAGGAGATGGAGAAAATAGGAGGAAGAAGAGGAGGAGGAATGGAAAAAAAAGGAGGACGAAGAGAAAGAGGAGGAGGAAGCAGAGAAGGTAAAGGAAGAATAGAGAAGGAAGAGGAGGAGGAAGAAGAGGAGAAAAAGGAAGAAGAGAGAAGGAAGAAGAGGAGAAAAAGGGAAAAAAAAAGGAGAGTAGTCACGGTAGCGTAGAGTCGAGGAGAGGACTTCCAGCTACACCTCGTCTGGCTTCAGCTCCCCGTCGTGGCGGACAGATATACTCTCCACCGGCAGCGAGGACTCGCTGGTGAGACCCAGCGATAGGCGGCCCTCCCCCACCACACCACCGCTCTCCTCCTCCACCGTCACGGTAGACGAGGCTTGCGACAACAGCGACAACGCCGACGCTGAAAGACCTGACGTCTCTAAGTTGGACTTGCCGTCACCTATATTGTTGGCGTCGCACGGCAATGGGTGTCCGTCAAAACCCGCGAGAGCCTTGTGGTGGGGGTCAAGGTCGTCGTGGCCTTGGTGGTGGTGGTCGTGGCTAGGAGACAGACCGCTATCCGACAACGATGATTTGTCATCGAAAACGGAAGGAGTAAGCGGAAATGAAGATAACGAAGACGCCCGCGACGACGATGATGACGAAGTGGCAGAAGGGGTGGGGGATAATCGGCAGCCCGCGGTGGGACTCGAACCCTCTCGGGCCGCTCCATCACCGGTCGCGGGTTTCTCTTCCTCTCTTAACCCACCCTGAGAACATAACGACGATGACGGTGATAACGACAGTCTCTTCCTATCCTCGCTATTTTCACTCAACGATGGCGACGACGATGTGGAGTCGACAGTCGCGTCGCCATGGCAACTACCTTGTCCTCCTCCTCTTTCTTCAGACGATAAAGACAAGTGTCTATCCTCCCTAGACCCTGTTCCCTCCTCCCTCGTATGTTTACTCTGCTTATTGTCGTGAGAAAGCCTCCGCGCCGACGACGGTTGCTGATGCTGATGCTGCGAAGTCGCAGTCGCATTATCTCCCTTCCCTGCCGAAGACGATGAGGACTGCGCTCGACGACACGAAGAAGAGGAGGAGGAGGATGATGACGATGCGGGATGTTTCGCCTCGTCTTTCAAACCGTCGGCGAGTGGCGCTGAGACTTGTGGCACGCCTCCCGACAGCCCATGACAGTATGACTGCGGCTGTGGCTGATGCTGATGATGATGATGTTGCGGCTGCTGCTGCGTCGCGTCTCTGCTCTTGCCGTGGTGCTGGTACGAGAGCAGGAAGTCCCTCAGCTGGCCCGACGAGCGGGTGACCGACTCGACGCAGAGCGACACGCGGTCGCGGTGCCGTTTGGCGCTGGAAGAGTAGACCAAGTCTCGCACCGCTTTGCAGATCTGTACCGTGGCGGAGGCTATGCTCATCGACAGACCTTCACAATGGACAAAAGAGACACAAGTGAAAACCTTTCCTTCCAAATGATGATAATAATAATAATTTTAATATTCATAATAAAATTATTGATAAAAACATAATTAATAATAATATTAAAAATACTGCTACTACTACTACTACTACTGCTAGTAGTAATAATAATAATAAAATAATAATATTAAAAATACTAAAAATATTAATTTAAAAATAAAATTAATAAATAATAATAATAATAATAATCATATCAATAAAACAAAGATTACTTCTAAGGCACCCACTCTCCGATGGCTCTAGGTGTTTCACAAGGAAATAAGATTTCAATCAACGTTTCAGGCATACTGCAGGCTTGCCAACTTTTGAGATACTGAATTCTGGAATTTTGATTGCTCCTGAGCGCCACGGACACACACTTCTGTGATAGGCTACTAAAAAAACCCCCACCCATACCACAAAAACAACTCAAACAAACCAGTGGAGAAACAGAGAGAGAGAGAGGAGAATGTAACAGTACAGCTACTACTACACATATTCCTTCGTCCTCAGCATTTCTATGCCTTTTCTAAGAAAAAATAATAATTTTTTTGGGGTTGGGTGGGGGGTGGGGGGTGACATCGCGCGACGATGGCAATTCTGGAATTTCCTGAAAAATTCAGGAAGGTTGGCAAGCCTGATACTGGCTCATTCAACGTACAACAAAATTCTCATAATTACATATAAAG